GGCCCGCCTTCCCGATCCGCCTGGTAGGGCATATCTACCCGATTTGCCCGTCTGGTTCTGCCACGCGTTTTCTGCTCCCAGCCCCCCTCCTGCTACTCTCTCAAGTTTCATCCTCCTCCCTCCCCCGTGCCCCTTCCTTCCATCCGTCCCTCCTTCCCCTGCCTTAGGGGCTGCACGAAATACACGTTGCAGGTAAGAGAGATATACCCCGAAGGGGGTACAATCGAAGACGACGAGGGCGGGTATCGAGGGATTCGGGGTATACGTGTTGAATGACACGCGAGCAGATAAGAGCGATCAGTCTTAACATGGTTGTTAAACTCTCATTCCCGAAGAATAATTATTGTTGATCCCCGCCGCCCCGTGCACATGACGATTTTTAAGTTGAAGTGCCGCTTGAGGGCTCGCACCCTGTTTTTTTAACCAGGGGAAGTCTTGAGCGTCAAACTGCGCCCCCGGCCCCCGCGTTACAGCAGCGACGGCTCCTGCCTGATACTTCTCCACAATTTATTCCCAAATCGCGCTCTCGCGCGGGACCTCCTTGCAATGTGTGCAGACATCGAGCTCTCGCGTGGGACTTCCTCGCAATTGATTCAGACGCCGCGCCCGCGACACTCAGGAATCACGCTCGAGACTTCCCCACGATTCATGCAGGACGCACGCTTCAGCAACCCGCCTACTCTACCTGGCCTCCTGGGCCCGCCTTCCCGATCCGCCTGTTGGGGTCTACCCGCCCGATCTGCCCGTCTGGTACTGCCGCGTGTTTTCTGCTCCTAGCCCCCCTCCTGCTACTCTCTCTTGTGCCCCCCCTCTTCCCCCCCATGTCCCTTCCTTCCGTCCATTCTTCCTCTGCCTCAGGGGCTGCTCGAAATACATCTTGCAGGTAATACAAATATACCCCGAAGGGGGTACAATCGAAGACGACGAGGGCGGGTATCGAGGGATCGGGACATACGTGTTGAATGACACGCGAGCAGATAAGAGCGAACAGTCTTGCAATGATTGTGGTTGTTATGGTTGCTGTTGCTGTTGCTGTTGCTGTTGCTGTTGTTGCTGTTGTAGTTATTGTTGCTGTTGCTCTTATTCTTATTATTGCTGTTGATGTCGTTGGTGTTGTTCTGGTTGGTGGTTGTTATTGTCGTCGTCGTCGTTGTTGTTGGTGTTTTTTTTGTTTTTGTTGTTGTTGTTATTGTTGTTGAACATTATTTCTTCTAAAGAATAATTATTGTTGGGACCCCTGGTGCGCGACCCCCCCGCCGCGCCTAGGCCGCAGCCTCCTTTTCATCATTTTCGTGAGGAAGTCTCAGGCAAAACGGGTTGGTCCGGATCCGGTTGTGTTGTTACGATCGGTTTTCCCTTGCAAAAAATAAGCTAAAGTGGACATTTCTTGTTCTAACATAACCAAACTTCAAGAATCCCTTGCAAAAAATAAGGTAAAGTGGACATTCGCGCGCGCAAGACGAAATCCTTCCAAAACCTTAGTTTTCGTAGCGATTTTAACATAAAAACATCAAAAAACCAATGGTTTTTCAAAACAAATTGTCAAAATTTCATCCCGCGCGCTCTTGCGGATTCGTAGGAAACCCAACACTTTTTAATCATTTCTGTCAAACGGGCTTTTGCGAGCAACTTTTTCGAACTTCTGCAACAACGGTTGCGCACCTGCCAGGGCCATCATCCCTGTCAAATAATACCATGCGGGACACATTCGTTTTTTCTTCGCGCGCGCACGCCGTCGTCGTCGGCCGCGGGGCCCTGAATAGTAGCCACGGTCGTCCGCATGCCACGAAGTGAAGTGTCCGAACGTCATAGGGCGGGAAGCTGGGTGTGGGTGGTGGCGAAGAGTCGTTTGGAAATTTGGTAGAGCTTGAACCGGCCCCCCCACAAAGTGGGGGTATTGCCCGCCTCCTATGAAAACCCTGGCACTGGTGAGAACGGAGTGTCCCCACGTGCTAGTAATTGTTGTTGTTGTTGTTGAACATTATTAATTCTAAAGAATAATTATTGTTGGGGCCCCTGGTGCACGGCCCCCCTGCGCCGCCTAGGCCGCAGCTACATTTTCATCATTTTCGTGAGGAAGCCTCAGGTAATACGATGTCATCAAGATCCGGTTGTTTTGTTGTAATCCGTTTTCCCTTGCAAAAAACACTATAAAATGACATTTCTTGTTCTAATATAATCAAATTTCAAGAATCCCTTGCAAAAAATAAGGTAAAGTGGACATTCGCGCGCGCAAGACGAAATCCTTCCAAAAGCTTAGTGTTCGGAGCGATTTTAACATAAAAACATCAAAAAACCAATGGTTTTTCAACAAAAAAATGTCAAAATCTCATCCCGCGCGCTCTTGCGGATTCGTAGGAAACCCAACACTTTTTAAACATTTCTGTCAAACGGGCTTTTGCGAGCAACTTTTTCGAACTTCTGCGACAACGGTTGCGCACCTGCCAGGGCCATCATCCCTGTCAAATAATACCATGCGGGACACATTCGTTTTTTCTTCGCGCGCGCACGCCGAAATCTCCAAAAACCATTGGGTTCTTAAGAATTTTAGCACCGCGCATCATAAAATCACACGAATCGCACCGTAGGTCCTCGAAAAGATGTGATCAACTATCTTGTGAGTACGTATCATGTGTATCATGTGTATCATGTACCGTATGCATCATATGCAACAGATGTTTTGTGGAAGGCTTAACAACTTCTGTGGTTAACAAGGCTTAAGAACTTCTGTGGGTGTACGAACGTAGGCTTAACAACTTCTGTGGGTGTGTACTCCACGCCAGTGTAGTAGCCACGGTCGTCCGCAGGCCACGAAGTGAAGTGTCCGAACGTCATAGGGCGGGAAGCTGGGTGTGGGTGGTGGCGAAGAGTCGTGTGGATATTTGGTAGAGCTTGCACTGCCCCCCCACAAAGTGGGGGTATTGGCTGGCGTCGCATGAAAACCCTGGCACTGGTGAGAACACTGAGCGTTCGGGTAAAGTGATTGTTGTTGTTGTTGTTGTTGTTGATGGAGGCCTACACTGGGTGCCCGTGTACCCCTCTCACACCCACACCCGCACACCCACACCCACGCCCACACCCCCACTCACACCCAGCGAGGGCCCACCGACGCCCAATTTCGGCACACCCCTCACGAGGATCGTGGCCCTGGCCCCATACGGAGCTCTTCCGAAGGTCCCAGTGGCAGGGCCCGCATGCGTCCTCGGGCCCGATTCTGACACACCCCATCACGAGGATCGTGGCCCTGGCCCCATATGGAGCTCCACCGAGGGCGCACCGACGTTTTTTTGTTGGTACACACCTCACGAAGATCGTGGCCCTAACCCCATGCGGAGCTCTTCCGAAAGTCCCAATGGCAGGGCCCGCATGCGTCCCCAGGCAGAATTTCGTCACACCCCTCATGAGGATCGTGGCCCTGGCCCCATATTGGGCTCCACCAGGGGCCCATCGAACTTTCGTCGCACGCCTCACGAGGATCGTGGCCCTGGGCCGATACGGAGCTCTTCCGACGGTCCCAGTGGCAGGCACCGCATGCGTCTTCGGGCATGATTTCGGCACACCCCTCACGAGGATCGTGGCCCTGGTCCCATGCGAAGCTCTTCCGAAGGTCCCAGTGGCAGGACCCGCATGCGTCTCCAGGCCCACGGAAGGCCAGTTTCAGCACACCACTCAGGAGGTTCGTTGCCTTGACCCAAACACTGAGCTCTTCCGAAGTTCCCAGTGGCAGGGCCAGCATGCGTCCCCCAGCCAAATTTCGGCACACCGCTCGCGAGGATCTTGGCCCTGGCCCCACAGGGAGCTGTACCGAGGGCCCACCGACACCCGATTTCGGCATCCCCCCACAATGATCGCGGCCCTGGTCCCATGCGAAGCTCTTCCGGAGGTCCCAGTGGCAGAGCCCGCATGCGCCCTCGGGCCCGATTTTGGTACACCTTCCTAAGTACGAGTCGTACCAGGGAGTCCCTACTACGAGCAGCAGAAGGGGGCTCCTACTATGAGTCGTAGTAGCGAGCTCCTGCTATGATTTATAGTAGGGGGCACTTGCTATGACTCGCAATAGGGAGCCTCTATTATGACTCATAGTAGGGAGCCTCTACTATGACTCATAGTAGGGAGTTCCTAGAATGAATTGTAGTAGGGGGTTCCTGCGATGATTCGTAGTAGGAGGCTCCTACTATGACTCATAGTAGGTGGTCCCTGGTATGACTCATAGTAAGGAGCTCATACTATGAGTCGTCGTAAGGAGCTCCTACTGTGACTCATAGTATGTGGTCTCTACTTTGACTCATAGTAGGAGATTTCTATCATGACTAATCGTAGGGAGCGCCTACTATGATTCGTGCTAGGGAGTTCCCACGATGACTCACAGTAGGTGGCCTCTAGTATGGCTCAAACAAGGGGGTGCTATCATGACTGACCGTAGGGAGTGCCTACTATAAGACGTACTAGGGAGCTCCTGACTATGAGTCGTACTAGGGAGTTCCTACTATGAGTCGTAGTACGGAGCTCTCACTATGAGTCGTAGTATGTTTTTTTTTTTTTTTTTTTGTTGAGTCGTAGTAGGGAGCTCCGATTATGAGTCGTAGTAGGGCGCTCCTACTACGAGACGTAGTAGGGAGCTCCTACTGAGACTCATAGTATGGAGCTCTGACTATGGGTCGTAGGAAGGGGGCTCCATCTACGAGTCGTAGTAGGAAACTCCTACTATGCGTTGTAGTAGGGGGCTCCTACTATGAGTCGTAGTAGGAAGCTCCTACTATGAGTCGTAGTAGGGAGCTCCTGCTATGACTCATTGTAGGGTGTCTCTACTATGTCTCTACTATGACTTATAGCAGAGCGGTCTGTATTATTCATGGGCTTACGCCGCACCGCCGACCCCTTGGGACTGCTGGTAAGGCCTTGGGGGGGGGGGTCCTTGCTGCACCGACAATCTGTCTCTCGCTATCTTGCGCGTGGTCTTACTTGTGCACTGGCCCCCCATGTCGCCGCGCCAAACTGCCGCCGGTCGCTGCGGCCTCGCACCAGGCCCACTTTCAGCAACTGGCGAACCAGCCGTCGCGCGAATTTCATATGTGACGTGTGTATGTATTCGATGATCTCATATATGTATCATATAAATATACATACATATATGTATATACACGCGTACATAAGATGGGCAGGCATGCGCGCACAGAGGTGGCACTGCGCGGTGCCATTGGACAGCGTGTTTTTGGGCTCAAGACTTGGCCCGTGGTGTGTTCATTCGGCGCCAGGTAGACCCATCCCGCCTCAAGGGCGGAAGTGGCGAAGAAGGACGACATCCTCGGTGCGTACGGAGGCCGACACTGGTTCGGATTTTTTCGATGTTGACCGTTTGGGTTGATTCGGCCGATGGACCATTGTAGCCGGCCCCACTGGGTGAATTTGCCGATCCAAGCCGACATGGCACTTTTCTGTGGAATCTGGGAAGCCAACGAAAAGTCGAGTTAGGCAGAAAAATCGTTGAACGACAGAAATCGCAAAGGTACCAAGTCGCAGGTCGTTGTTTGCGCAATTCCGCAGCAAGTTGGACTTACAGCGGTCCATCCATCGAAGCTCGGAAGCGAGGGAAAGTGTGAGGGGGATGGGAATTCGGAAGCAAGGGCCTCCAATATTACACAAAAGCGATAAGGAAATATTTACCTTGACGAAAAACCCACCCATATGCAATTGCGAGTACCGCAGGGCAGGCGGGACGAAAAATGGGGAGCTCCCGACTGGGCCACGAACCGTATGAGGGGTGTGCCGACGCTGAAAGGGGATCCGAAGGAAGGCTTCAGGAAGGCCGCGGGCTCGGGGCAGCTTCTTTTTGAAGTGCGGTCTCTCGGAGGGCCTCGCAACGAAGTTTTTGAAGCCCTTCGTGGCTCTGTAGAGAGAGTGTGAGAGGCCTCGGGAAGATTTTTGGCCGTATTGGAATGCTCTTGGCGTTCTCTTGGGCCGTCTTGGACGCGCGCAGGACGAAAAAAACGAGTGAGCGAAGCAGGTGCGTTTCCTATAGGACTCAGAACATGGTCGACTCCTCTGGCTCTGTCGGTGGCCATCTAGGAGCACTCTTGGGCCGTCTTGGGGGCCGCGTGGGTCACCGCGCACCCATATCGGGCCGTCGTGGGATTACCCTGGGTCAATTGAAAGCACAATCGAATTATCTTGGCGCTCTGTGTGAGCTCTCTTGGGCTGTTTCGAGCCTTTTTCCAAGGCCCCCGAGGTTCAGGTCAAGCGTTCGCGAAGTCATAGGCCCGGGGAAGGTCCCCCTCAAAACGTCATTTTGGGCCCCAGGGGATCGGGGAGAGTTGAGGGGCACAGCCAAATGTCTCACACGAATTGCCCCCCCCCCCAAGGTGGAGTGGGCGGATTTGGAAAGATTCGCACGGCAGTGGGCATCTAAGAAAAACGGTGGTCGTTGGCGCCACGATGTGGCCCACGTGTTGCCGGGAGGGGCTGTCCCGCAGTTGACGACCACCACTTTGTATGCTCCACCCCAATTACACATGTGTACTTCAAGTCTTCGATTGTCAGTGCGCATCTCACAGGAATGCTGGTCGTTGGCCCGCGGCCTCTGGCCCTTCCCAGGCCTTTAATTGATTTTGATTGCTGCGCACGGCAGCGAGCATCTTAGAATAATGTTGGCCGTTGACGCCGCGATGTGTTCCACGTGTGGCCGCCGGGTGCGGGGGCTGACATTTCGAGCTCCCCGGCCAAAGGGCCCCCCAGGAGTCCAAGAGGTCCCCGGGAGACCCCCGACAGGCCCCCGAGAGGCCCCAAGAGGCCTCGAGAGGCCTCCAGCAAGCTCCCAGAAACGCCCGAGAGAGCATCGGGGCTGCCCCAACAAGACCCCGGGACGGCTGGAGGCGCCTCGACAAACCCTCGCAGCGTCAAACGGACAACGCGGGAACCTACGTCACGCGCGCTGTAGGCATCCTCTTCTTGGCTGTTCTGTTTTCTCGCAAGTCATGCCCATTTATTTGTCCTCGAAGGCCGGGGTTCGTGGCAATATCAGGTTTTCCCCGACCTGGCGGAGGGGTTCTCGTTTAGTGTCCCCCTGGAGGGGTCGGGGGGGGACCTCCCGGGACATGGCCCCGGCGACGGGCGGAACGCTTGCAGAAGACGGCGGAAGACGGCACCACGCGGTCCCATTTCTGCAGACGCGCTTCCGGGAGGCACGGACGAATAGTCCTTAAACTGATGGTTGTTGTTGATGATGGTGATGCTGATGATGACGTGGACGAGGGGGAGGAGGGTGATGGGGAGGAAGAGGACAAGCAGGAGAAGTGGGAGAGCAGAGGAGGATGAGGAGGAGGATGATTAGGAGGAGGAGGAATCCCCCTCTCGAGTCCTGCCAGGACGACGCGGGAGATGGAGGAGATGATGCACCATCGCCGGGGCCTCTTCGAAGAGACCTTGAGCAGCGTCGAGAGACTGACGTGGCCGCCCAGCGAGCCCACGTCTCAGACCTCCTGCATGATCTGCCTCGGGGACTTCCAGGCGGAGGCGTCGGAGGGGAAAGGCGCAGCCACACGGAAACCCTTACCCATCGGTCGTTGAAAGTGGGTATTTCTGTAATCCCATATCTTGATCTATTTTTAGGGGGCTTCCCAGTTCAACGATCGAGTGGCTTCCCCTTTCTCCCTTCTCTCCAGTAGGTGGGCGGAGACCCATTCTACTTCCAGCGCCTTCCTACCTCATGTTTCTACCTGCTTCCTCCGACCGATGGGTAACTCCTCGAAGCAGAAGTCGCTACATCAACAAGAACTGACTCCGACCAATGGCTATCTCTTCGAAGCAGAAATCGCAACATCAACACGAGCCTTCTGAGCTCCGCGCGGATTTCTTGGATCGGCGCCCGTTCCCCCTGCGGGCGCTTCCGGCGCCGCCCCTTGCGCGCTCCGCGCGCCGGCGGAGGGGGGCCCAGCGCCGATCCAAGACACTTGCGCGGATCTCTGAAAGTGTAAGTTCACGCCGTCCTTCCTTCCTTGATGGGCGCAGCCCGTAATTTGATTTTCGGGGAAGTAGACTTTCTGTCTGACTGACTGACTGACTGACTGACGACTGACAGAACTGACAACTGAATTACCAAAGCCGTTTGATGGCAGTTTTATTTCCGGGGGTGATGATATTTCGTTGGCCGTTTTGAGTTACGGAGTTGAGGGTATGTCGCTGGCAGTTTAGGCCAGGGGGGCGAGGATTCTTCGCTTTTGGCAGTTTTAAGTGAGGGTGGTGAGGTTATTTCGCTGGCAGTTTTAGGCCAGGGTGGTCAGGAGTTGTCGCTGGCAGTTTTAAGAGAGGTGGGTGAGAATATTTCGCTGGCAGTTTTAGGTCAGGGCTGTGGGGATATTTCGCGGACAGTTTTAGGCCAGGGGCGTGCGGTGAGGATTCTTCGTTGGCAGTTTTAAGCCAGGGGGTTGAGGATATTGCACTGGCAGTTTAAGCGAGGGGTCTGAGGATATTGCGCTGGCAGTTTTAAGTCAGGGCGGTGAGGATATTTCTTTCGCTGGCAGTTTTAGGCCAGGGGCGTGAGGATATTTCGGTGGCAGTTTCAAGCGAGGGCGGTGATAATAGTTCACTGGCAGTTTTAAGTCAGGGGGGTGAGGATACCTCGCTGGTATTTTTAGTCCAGGGGCGTGAGGATATTTCCTGGACTGTTTTAAGCAAGGGGTGTTGAGATATTTCACTGGCAGTTTTAAGCGATGGCTGTGAGGATTCTTCGCTGGCAGTTTAAAGCCAGGGAGTTGATGATGTTTCACTGGAAGTTTCAGGCGAGGGGGGTGAGGGTACTGCGCTGGCAGTTTTTAAGTCTGGGCGGTGAGGGTATCTCGCTGGCAGTTTTAAGCCCTGGGGCCCTGCCTTGCCCAGCCGAAGGCTACGCATCCAGCGCGGTGCTGCGCCCGTATACATGCTCGCCCCTTGGCGTGGGGCTGGCGGCGGGACAAGGGGCGAGCTGTCCGTTGTTTGCGGAAGGCGCACATGTGCGAATGAATACCGTTCACTCGGGCCCGGGAGTTTCCAGCAAGATCATGATTTCCTGAAGAAGCGACGAGCTGGCTTTTCTGAGAAGTTCCAGAACTCCCTCCCTGGGTTTCTGGGCACTCGTGAGTTTCTGACAGCTCGTGCCCCAGAGTTGAGAAGAAACTGAAACTGGTGAGTTTCTAAAAACTCGGGCCCTGAGTTTCTAGATCTGCCGTTCGCGCCTTCTTGAGGGCCTGCCGGGAGGCCAGGGATGCCTCGTCGCCATGGCAGCATTCGCCTTGGAATCATTCATGGTCAGAACGCGTCTCGGGCGATATCCACAGAGTATGGGTACAGCTGGCACGAGGAATAACCCTAGCATTTGAGGGTATCTTTATCTTCTTGGTGATCGGGCCGCTCACCTTGGCATATGTCTCGTTCTGGGCACAAGCGAATGTCCGAGTACAGTCTCAAGTTTATGCGCCCTCTTGTTTCAGTGCAGGGGAAGTTGAGTTTCCTTGAAACGAGCAACTCGACCGGGACTTGATCGACCGTGGAGCGGGACTTGACGGGGCGGGTTGGACCTGATTCCACACTTTTGGATGAATTGGATTTGATGCATCCCGATTTGAGAACAGGCTTTTGACAGCAGTCCAGGATGGGATCAAGTTCCGTCCCGCCACAGCAGTGGCCCTTCGGTAGTAGTCTCAAGGGGGATGGGGGGGTGGCTCATCATCATGATCGTCATGATGATGGTCATGACCCATTATCATGAAAAGGATCAGCATAGTCATATCATCATGTTTTCACTAATCGTCACGATACTGTCCGTGATCATCACAATCAACTCGACGGTCGCCAACGAAGTACCCATGGTCCTGATGAAGACGGCCATGACGGTCACCAGCCACCAAACCATCATGGGCCAAATGATAGGGCCAAATGCCTAACGCGCGAGTGCGTCAACCTGCCCCATTCGCCCCGCGGGATGCCTGTCTGAAAGTTCAAGCAGCGCATCAAATCCCGTTGACTTCGTCTCTGATGGACTGGCATGTGCACCGCGGCGGCGGACCCGCGGAGGCCGCATTCTTGTCGCACCGCACTTAATGGAAACGTGGGGCGGCGATGCGACGGACGTGGGCGTCGGCGGGGAATTGCGATGGCGACGATTGCAAATGTCACTGTGGTGCCCGCCATTGCAACAGTCGCGCCAACGAGGCTATTGCTCGCGATGAAGATGTTGACGATCATGTTCATCACGGCGACGATGACAAGGGTGACGAAGCCCCATCGCAGATTATCCCGCCGGCTCTGTCCGTGACGGACGGGCAGATCACCGCGGCGGCGGACCCGCGGACAGCGCACTGTTGTTGCCGCAACGCGGCCAGTGGCAACATTTGACGGTGATGCGGCGGACGTGGTCGCTGGCGGATATTGCGACGCCGACGAATGCACATGTAATTTTGGTGCCAGCTATTTACAGTCGCGCCAATGGGGCTGATATTCGCAACGGACATGTTGGCGATACTGTTCATCAGGTTTCGATGATACAGTGACGAAGCCCCATCAGGGAATATAATGTCTTTGGGTATGCCATTCGGCCAGGACTTGATCGGCTGCGAGACGGGACTTGACGGGGTGGGTCGGCATTTCGCAATCATGTTTTTGACGGGGTTTGATTCATCCTGATTTGATGATATAACGTTCGTGCCAGTCCAGGATGGGATCAAGTCCCGTCCCGCCGCAGCTGTGACTCTTCGCTGGGAGCCCACCAAGGGATTAGAGTGGCTCATGATTATCATGATGATGGTCATGGTCCATCATCATGAAGATAACCTCCACGGCCATACCATCATGACGGCGCTAATCATCATGATGTTGTCCGTGAATCTTACCATCAATTTGACGGTCGCCAGCGAAGTACTCATGGCCGTGATGAAAACGGCCATGGCGGTCACCGTCCACCAAACCATCATGGGCCAATTGCCTAACGCGCGTGCGCGTCAACCTGCCCCATCCGCCCCGCGCGGTGCCCATCTGAAAATTCAAGGACCTTCTACTTCCATCGCAGTACGAGTCATACTGTTTAGGGTAGCTTCTGGGCACTCCTCTTCTCAATCCGCTGTTTGTGCCATGTCTGGCTGCCCGTGTTCGCTTGGGAATGCGGATCTCTGCCGCAAGCCCGCGCGCCACCGCTGTCCCATTTAACGGGTCAGGGCCACGCACAGAGGAGGGGCGAGAACGGCGTTTGGGCAAACCGTCTTTGCGCGGGCCTGGGGCTGTCTTCTTCCTCGGTGCTTGAGCCCGATTCGGGGCGGTAGTGAAGTTCCCATGGCTGGGCGCTCCCTCAAAACATCATCCCCACCGTCGCAACCGCCGGCCGTTCCCAGCTTCGCCTTGGCCTTGGTCACCCTCCCCTGCGCCCCAGGAGAGAGGGTGGGAAGAGGCCAGGGGCGACGGCGTAAGTGACCTCGTTTAGCCGCCGCGACTACTTTGATCCGTGTTCTTGTTGCGTTCGACCGTATCGGTGTCGGTGTCCTTTGATTCCCACAGGACGAGTGCCGGCGCTTGCCATGCCGGCACGTTTTCCACTCGAGCTGTGTGGAGGACATTCGGCGGCACAAGGGACGAGGCGGACGAAAGGGGGGTGATTAGGGAAGAGGGGGTTGCGGTATTTATTGCGTGCAGCTGGTGGTTCCGGCCAGGCGCCGTTCATTTTCTTCGTCGCATGTCCAGGCTTCCCAGTTTTGGTCGGAGTAGACGGGGTTGCAGGATCGCGCCGCATCGCTGATGCATTTGCGATGCGGTGCGATGGGGGACCCGTTTTTCTCCACCTCGTCGATGCACGGGCAATGCATCCGCGAAGCGGCGCGTTCCTGCGACCCCATCTGCTTGGTCCCCACTTGAGAGACCTCCAGCATGGTCGCCTGTGGGTTCGGGGGGCGCCAAAGCAACCAGCTCCGTGCAACGGATTCGGCAACGCCCGTCTTGTCGCTACCCCCGTTTCGTCCATCCCGAAGGGGAGGCGGGGAAGGGGGCCACTCGGAAAAATGTCGGGAGGGGGCTTCTGCTTTCCTCCGAGAAGATTTCTGCAGAGGTCGGGCCGAACGAAAGGGGGGATAGGGAAGGGGGGGGGTACGAAATCTGCTGCATGCAGCTGGTTTCGGCCCCGCCGCCGAGCCCCTCGATACATGGGCGCCTCCCGGCACCGGGAGGCGCTGGCAAAATCAGCTACGTGAGCTGATTATCTAACCCTACCCTTTGCTATCCCCCCCTTTCGTTCCCCCCGGAAAGGGGGGGTCGTTTCAAACGAAGATTTGGGTACACTCCTGGCTTTCCCAGGAACCCTCGCAGGGACTGCCGCAGGAAGGGCGGCCCTCTCTTTTTACAGGCCGTCTCTCTCTCTCTCTTTTTTTTTTTTTCTCTCTCTCTCTCTCTCTCTCTCTTTCGAGAAGCTTTCTGCAGCGGGGGGTCGCTCAGAACGAAGACTTGGGTTACCCTCCTGGCTTTCGAGGAGCCCTCACAGGGACTGCTGCAAGGGACGGGCGGCTCTCTCTTTCTCTCTCTCTCTCTTCTTCTGCAGACCCTCGCGCGAGGAGTGCCTGCGCTGCCCGAGGTGCGCCTGGCCTGCGGCTTGCCCGCGTTCTCCAGGGGTACCCTCCCTCGGCTTTCTGTTGGGCCTGTCCCTCTACCGTACGGAAGGAATCTGCAGACATGGTTGAGCAAGAGCCTGGGGACGATATTTTGACTGTTTTCGGCTAATTTGTGGACTGCTTTGGACGATTCTTAGCTTTTCTTCCACAGCCCGCCTGTAGGAGGACATGCCCTGACCTAAACTCAGCTTCCGGAGTGCCCCCCTCAGTGCCCAGTTTCCGCCGCCAGGGTATGTCTATGTCCACTGCCTCGGGGTCCTGTCCTGGCTGGGGCCACGGGGAGTGGCGGATGCGTGTGGATGTTTGCCCGCCCGAGGAGCAAGAGGCGCCCAGGATTGGTCAGATCGCATGCCAGTGTTTCAAGTGCTCAATGATGGAAACGCAACCAAAGAAATATCGACGTTCAGAAACGATTTTCCCGAGACGTTTTTTCTGGGGGGTGGGGGGGCGGGGGGGGACGGGGGCGGTCTCGGGAGGGAGAACCGGGGGGGGCTTTTTGAGCCGCCTACTAAAGGGCAGGACTCAGAAAGTTTGGGCATGTGTCCTGGCGAAGCGCAGAGGGACCACGGGGCAGGGGTCTACCTAAACGGTGTTTTGGCGATTTCGTGGGCCGTTTTCGTTTCGATCTCGTTTTGCAGCAACGGCGGATTGAAGACAGCGAGGGATAGCGACAACAAAGCGGACACTAAAACACTGTTTAGGGCGACCTCTGCGACGGGACCCTCGGACGGGTGGGAAGCTGGGCACACTTTTATTCTCTTACACAGGGTGTCTAGAGCTCCGACCACTTTATTTCGGCACGGCACCCCCTCCATCACCCACACATTCCGCCAGCCAGTGCGCCCCTCCGCCCCGACCCCTTTACTTCGGCACGGCACACCCTTCCGCCCCGACCTCTTTATTTCGGCACGGCACTCCCCCTCCACGCCCCCTCCGCATCCCCCCCACCCACCAGCCAGCGCGCCCCTCCGCCACCCCTTTCTTTCGGCACGGCACACCGCCTCCGCCCCGACCTCTTTATTTCGGCACGGTACACCCTCTCCGCATCCCCCCACCCACCAGCCAGCGCGCCCCTCCGCACCCCTTTATTTCGGCACGGTGCACCCCCCCGCATCACCCGACCCACCAGCCAGCGCGCCACCTCCGCCCCGACCTCTTTATTTCGGCACGCCCCCCCCTCCACCGCGCCCCACCTCCGCCCCGACCATTTATTTCGGCTCGGCACACCCCTCCGCCCCTACCCTTTATTTCGGGACGGCCACCCCCCCGCGCCCCCCCTCCGCCCCGACCCATTTGATTTCGGCCGGCGGCACACCCCTCCGCCCCGACCCTTTATTTCGGCACGACACACCCCACCCGCATCCCCCCCCCCCACCCACCAGCCAGCGCGCCCTCCGCCCCACCTTTATTTCGGCACGGCACACCCCTCCGCCCCGACCACTTTATTTCGGCACGGCACACCCCCTCCGCATCCCCCCACCCACCAGCCAGCGCGCCCCTCCGTCCGACCCACCCCTCCGCCCCGACCCCTGTATTTCGGCACGGCACACCCCCTCCGCATCCCCCCTCCCACCAGCCATCCGTGATTTCGGCACGCCCCCCCCCCCACCGCAGCCCCCACTTACAAGCCAGCGCGCCCCCTCTGCCCCGCGACCTCCTCATTTCGGCACGGCCCCCACTCCCTCCCCGCGCGCCCTCCGCCCCGACCACCTTATTTCAGCACGACACACCCCCTCCGCATCCCCCCACCCGCCAGCCAGCGCGCCCCTCCGCCCCGACCCCTTTATTTCGGCACGGTGCACCCCCCCCGCATCCCCCGACCCACCAGCCAGAGCGCGCCCCCTCCGCCCCGACCCCTGTTTTTCGGCACGGCACCGCCCCCCTCCTCCCGCGCGCCCCCTCTGCATCCCCCCGCCCGCCAGCCAGAAGGTCCCCCTCCGCCCCGGCCTTTATTTCGGCACGGCACCGCCCCCCCGCGACCCGCGCACCTCCAGCCAGCGCGCACCCTCCGCCCGCGCCCCCTCCGCACCCCCCAACCCGCCGGCCAGCGCGCCCCTTCTGACCCGACCCTGTTGTTTCGGCACGGCGCCGCCCCCTCCGCCCTGACCCCTATATTTCGGCACGGCACCGCCCCCCCCATCCTGAGCGCCCCCTCCGCATCACCCCACCCACCAGCCAACGCGCCCCCTCCGCCCCGACCCCTTTCATTCGGCACGGCACTGTTCCCCCATCCCGAGTGCCCACTCCATCGTCCCATCCACCAGCCAGCGTTCCCTCTCCGCCCCGACCCCTTCCTCTCTGTGCAAGAGCCCTGGCATGCGTGCCACTTGTTTTGCTCAAGGCAGGGCCCATTTCGGTCCGATCGATCCGCTTCGATGTCGGCTTCAGCTGGCCCGATCCGATCCGATTCCGAGGTTCCGACCATCCGATGCGGGCCGACGTTTGCGCATCTCGGCGCGGCCGATGCGGCCGAGCCGCTGCAGCCCGAGTCGATGCTCGTTCCGAGCCGATCCGGCTTCCCGATGCGATGCCGACTGCTCTTGCCCCTGCTTAGGAGGCCACATGCGAACCCTACCCCTACCCCCCACGATTTCTGAAGGGGGAGGCCCTCCCCCTCCCGAGCGAAGCGAAGCTCCAGAGGTCGCAGACTTTCTCCGGGACTGGAGGCCGCAAACAGCGTGCCGATTGCCACGCCTCAAAAAAACCTGGATGACCTCCCTGCGGCTCCGCATTCCACACGAACGTTGGGTCGTCGACAGGCCGGGTCTCCGGGAGACGTCGTGGAGTTTCTCGCTCGGGAGCTCCCGAACGAAGCGACCCCCCCCCCTTCAGAAATCGTGGGGGGCAGGGGTAGGGTTCGCATGTGGCCCCCTTCTGCCAGCATCCCGAGGAGTGGCTCCGGCGCTGCACGGACTGCCCCATCTGCAAGGACAATGTGGACCGGGCGATCCGCCATTACTGACGGCCCCCTCCCCTCCCTCCACTTCCCTCCTCGGGGGCGGCAAAGAAGGGGGTGATGACTAGGGGGGGTGGATATCATGGCGGTGGCCATGATATTTCCCCAGATTTCATGGCGCCTCTTCTTATTTCTTTACGTCCCTGCCCCCCCGCTGGGCCGCGCACATGCCGCCAGTCATGATTTGCACCCCACCTCTTGGACACCCCCCTCTTGGCCGCTCCCATCCCCTCCCTCCACCTCCCTCCACAACAAAAAATCAGCATTCACATGCTTGCTTTAAGTCGGGCCTGTCCCTCTACAGGGGGAGTATCCAAAAATAGAGGAAAAATACTCTGGGGACTCTTTTTTTCCGCTTGGGGGGTATTTTGGAATATATTGGGGGGTATTTTTTGGGGGGATTTTTTTATTTTTCGTCGAAAATCCCCCTGTAGGGGGACGCGCCCGACTTAATGCTTGCTCGGAGCTCCGCTCGGATTTCTTGGATCGGCGCTGGGCCCCCCAGGCGGCGTCTCTGGCGCCGCCCCTGGCGCGCTCCGCGCGCCAGGGAAGGGGGTTCGGCGCCGATCCAAGAAGCCTGCGCGGCCCAAATCGTCGCTTCGCTCATCCCTCTGGCCCATACTGTCGCATCTCTGCCGATAATATACCGAGTATTCGTGCGGACTGCGGAGCCGCAGGGAGCTCATCCAGGTTTTTTCGAGGCGTGGCATTCGTCAGGCTGATTGTGGCCTCCAGAGGTCGCAGACTTTCTCCGGGACTGGAGGCCGCAAACAGTGTGCCGATTGCCACGCCTCAAGAAAACCTGGATGACCTCCTTGCGGCTCCGCATTCCACACGAACGTTGGGTCGTCGACAGGCTCTTGGGAGCCTCTTGGGCTTCTTGGGGTAGTTTTTTGGGGCCTCTGGGAGCTGCTTGGGGCCCTGATGGCGGTCTCGCGAGCGATCTCGCGGGAAAGGGCTGGACATGGCAGCTCGGAGTACCGCTCTTGGGGTCTTCTGGGAGCCTCTGGGGTCGTTTTGAGGAACCTTTTGGGGGGGGCGTTTTTGGCTCATCTTGGGGGCATGTCGGGTCGTGTTGGGGCGATTTTGAGAGCCTCACAAGTCGTACATGCGAAAAACGTACGTGTTCCTCAGGGAATGGGGCGATTTGTGCTGGTTGGGGCCCTCTTGGAGGGCCTCTTGAGGCTCTCTCGGGGCTTCTTGGCGGCCTCTAGGGCTGTCTGGAGGCCACCTTGGGGCGTCTTCGACCGTCTGGGGGGCGTCCTTGGACCAGGGGGCGTCTGAAGCGCTCTGGGGAACCTTGTGGGGACCTTGCCCGGAATCTTCCAGGTTTCGGCTGGGGCATTTCTTTATGTTCATGCCGTTTTTGCTTCTCTATTTGAATCGTGGCCTCGCAGAGCAGCCTTAGCTGCGGTGTGGCCCGTGTGTATCTATCGACCAAGAAACAAACGACACCACCCCACCTATGGCCCTCCATGTTGCGCTACGGCTCATCGGGGGCCGTAGCGTATACCACGCTAAAGCCCGCGCCAGCTTTCCTGGTATACGCTGAGCCCCCTGGGGCCGTAGGTGAGGTGGTGCCGTGTGTTTCCTGGTCCAGTCTAGAGTTCTCTGTTCGTGCCCCTGTGCGTACGTGTTTCAAGGCGTCCCTGCAGCCAGAGTCTCCTCAAGGAGCCGCCCCTGCGCACACGGCTCTGCGCCCGCCTCGTGCATACCTGGACGCGCTCGCCTCGCGCAAGTCCGTTGTGTCAAGACTGGGCGCAGGCTTCGATGCCTCCGAGTCTCAGGGTTCGAAGAAGGAACCAAACCATAAACATAAACCTTTGGCGCTCCGCGCGGATTTCTTGGATCCGCGCTGGGCCCCCCCGCGGCGCCTCCGGCGCCGCCCCTGACGCGCTCCGCGCGCCAGGGACGGGGGGCCAGCGGA